GGGCATCCCATCGATGGTGTAGAGACAGACTCCTTTGGAATTACCAACACTTTCAAGATGGCAGATCCTCATCATCAGATCCTCAACTGTGTTTTTTGCTGGATCCATATCTGTTAGATCAAAATTACCAATGTTTTCAGAATGACCACATCTCATTTCTAACATGTCACAGCCCACTGTCTGATAAATATTGGGCTACTTTGTGGAAGTGGCTAGCCCTGGTTCATCTATTGATAAAAAGTGGATAGTACAAATATGAGCTCCTTTACCTGTAATTTCTTTTGGTTGAGCACATTTGGGGTATGTGTACTGCAGACAGAAGGACTTTAATGATTTGTGCACAGGCGTCACAGTTTGAACCTGCTGCTCCGGAGCTCTTTGAAGCAAGTTTTTCATCGCTGAAAAGCGGTTCTTCTCCACACAATTAAAACCTGCAATACCGGTATTTAATTCAGTAAGTATATTATATTTATAAATTAACATTTAATTCAAAAATACTTGTTTTAATTCACTTTGAGTTGTTCATTGAATGTTAAGTGTAAATGACATTGTATGTACATTTATGCTATAAGACACCTATATAAGCATACTGTAGAAGTAACTGCTATCTATTGAAACTACGACACACAACCTATAACCTACCACTGTTGATGAATCAACACCTATCACAGTGTGAACAAGTAACATTTTAATTGAATACAACGTTACAAAAATGTATTTACTGCAGTTGAATTGCTGTGTAGACCTACATGGTTCATATTTTTCCGGTAATGCGATGGGCCTTAATAAAAGTTATGATAAATTATATCTCCAGGCTTAGAAACACTAGATGTAGGTATCATTGTTTTCTACTGAGTGTCAGCTGCATGTTTTTACAGTATTTGATTTCAAGTTGAAGTTCATCTGACTCACCCATGTTGTCCAGATCTTCATCTGTAACGCTATCCAGGAAATCTCTTGTTTCCTTCACACCCAGCTGGACCAACTGGTTGCAGTAAGACTCCAGTCTGAACTGCTTTAGTGTGTTGAGTATTGCATCCATCTAAACAAACACATCAATATACATTATTTACAGGGAAGGAAAGAAGACTAGAATATTGTATTACTCAAATAATTCAAAGGAGCCCTACTTAAAAGAAGGGCTGGGTGATGTAGCCAACTCTATCCCATTACAGGTCATTTGTGATAACGATTGAGATAACGATGCAACTTTATTGCCGTAATTATGGTATGATAAACTTTTTGACCATGGTTGCTTGGCAGACATTTAAATACTAAAAATATAAATACAGCAGCAGCTTAGACAGCCAGGTAACAAAGTTCTACTGTAGCTACTTCCTCTAAAAACAATTAGGCAAGCAACAATGGAAATGAATGTCCTTTGAATTTGAAGTAGCATACAATAAGATGAAGTAAAAGTACATTTAGCCTACCCTGTTTTCCTTACATTTACACAATTTTCCTTAATGCTTAAAGTGATAAGATAAAAACAGTTAAGTATACAAAAATATGAAATCGTTCTTACTGTTGTTACAATGATGTGATGATCGGTAATCGCCAGTCTGTAGACAGCAGTCGTCAACAGCAAGACAAATCAACAAATTCAATATGTTAGGGTCATTTATATACTTTTATACCTAGGCCCTCTGACCCCCCCTTCCCTCGAAGGCGGCCCACATTGAAAATCACTTAGGCCTACCTCTGATGATCAAATCACTTAAACACAAAGTCCATCCTCCTGTCCTTTTGGATTAAGTACTTGATGGCGGGGTCATGCAGTTGATCCTTTGCCACTCCAATTTATCATTGTAACTCAATCTTGAAAATGACACGGTTAATAATTTCGCAACGATGTCATCACTATCACTGAGGTGAGCCATAATGAACGAATTTATGCTAATTAGCTACTTCCCCCTTGCTTGACCCGTTGTTATAACACGTGCATAAACTTGCTCAGCCGTCTCTCGCGTTTGCTTGGTCAAATTAACAGCTCTTCATTTTTGAGTGCGCGATTAATCGCGCCTTTACGGTAATCGCCGAGAAGCGTAAACATAATGCATGTTTTGTGCTACAGCCTACTGCGATAAAAATACGTTTTTACCATAAGTTCTTAATACAACTGACACTGTTGGACTCAGTACTAGACTGCTACAAACAATAAAATGAAGTGTGGGGGAAACTTCTGAAGCAATTGGAGTCGAGAGACACGAGCTGGAGCTTTGATGGCAAACACTGACGGTTTATTTGGAGCTTCGGCCGGAGAATTCACAAGACATATCACAGGCCACGATCTGACCACACGGTAAAGATGCCAAATAAATTCTGAAGAACTCTACCCCAGACCCATGTATTTAGCTAGTTCTGAGAGAATAATCAACGTTGTGCATAACAAGATAGAATCATAACACCTCTATCTAACATTACATTACATGCCACTGTTAGACGCTTTTATCCAAAGCGACGTACCTACATTCAACACTGGACAATCCCAACAGGAACAATTTGGGGTGAAGTGTCTTGTCCAAGGAAACAGTGGAATGTTGACTGCAGCGGGATTCGAACCAGTGCCCCCGTGATCTGAAGATCAGCGCACTGACCACTGAGCCACAACCATCACCATATCAGGCAGTAACAGGGAGACAAAACACTGAGAGCACAGCAGCCAATGTTGCAGGTGCCTGTACTCAGTCAGGACATTATGAACTGATAAACTGGGTCAAAGTTATGGGCCTTGGAAAATATTTCCCCAACATGAAGTAGCCTACTTTTACTGTGTACTTTTTCATTTATTCTCTGTCAAACTCCCCTCCTGAGAACGAATTCAAGCCACTTCTGCTATATTTGATGAGGGATAAAATGATTTTTAGCCACAACTTCTTAATATAATTGGTACTGTTCGACTCAGTACTTGTCAGACTACCACAAATACAATGAAATACTTTTACTGTGTACTTTTTGAGTAATCCTGTCAAACTCCCCTCCTGAGTACAATAATTCATGTATTCTGCTATATTTGATGAGGGATAAAAGGATTTTTTGCAATAAGATCTACATGAAATTGATACTGTTGGACTCAGCACTACTACCATAAGTACAATCAAGTACTATTACTGTGTACGTTTTGAGTAATCCTGTCAAACTCCCCTCCTTAGAACAATAATTCATGTATTCTGCTATATTTGATGAGGGATAAAATGATTTTTAGCCATAAGTTCTTAATACAATTGGTACTGTTGGACTTAGACTATCACAAATACAATTTAGTACTTTTACTGTGTACTTTTTGAGTAATCCTGTCAAACTCCCCTCCTGAGTACAATAATGCATGTATTCTGCTATATTTGATGAGGGATAAAATGATTGTTTGATGACGTAACGTAGATGAATGGAATAGAGCCATCATTACGCGATTCTTTATACAAACCATAGAAATCATTTTGTTGAGTCCAGTTTAATGTGCAGTTCAAACATCCCTCAGTAATTGTAACTTATTAACCTTGTAGTGGAGTTATTTGTGTTTATCATAAAAGCAAGACAGTATAGTTTGTTACCCATCTAAGAAACCCCGTTTTGCTTGTTTGTCAATAACTGACGGTTAAAGTTTATTTGTATGGATGCAGACACGACTGTGAATTACTCAATGTATGCAACTGCCAAGGAATCATGCTACCATATATAATTGAGAGTCTGATGTCTTAGCACTGTAAGTATTTTCCATTAGTGCAACAGGTATAACTTTCACAGACCATCTTTAAGTTGACACCCTGGTTGGAGGGACTGGATGGTAAAACGTGTTGATTATCTCCAGCTGTCTGTGTCTCTTGAACACTTTGTGACTGACTTGTGGCGCCCCTAAGTTGTAGTTTGGGGGCAGTAATGAACTGTTTAGACCCTCCAGAAAAACGCGGGCTAAAATCCTTGATTATGCAATTAAACATGCGGGGTTTTTATGTGATTTTATGCGGTGAAGTTGCGAAATATGCGGGAGGCGGAAAAAAGGTGATTCTTCTCCCACACCCTGTTACTAGGCTACTACTGAATGAAAGTGAGCCCTTTTAAAGAGTTCCTATGATAAACAAGCATACTAGAAGCAAGCTACATCACAAAGTGTTATTTATGTATTTATATATGGGCTATTTTAATCACTCTCTCACACACACACACACTCTTCTCCGCCTCATTCTGTTTTCATTTACTCGTTCGTTATCTGACCAGCTTCAATCTTGTAGGCTACTCACCTCGTTTCTTGTAGCCCTCGAAAGGGTTTTGGAGGTTGATGCCTCGGTGAACGTGAGTTGTTTGACTTTCTTGTCCGCAGCAGCAGAAAGCATTTTAGAATGTTTGAATGAATCAAAGTGGGTCGTCACCGTCGATTTTCTCTTATGCTCCAACACACAGTTGCACGGGGTGCAGAATAGTTTCCCCCCACTTTCGTGCAAGACATCGGGGTACTGCTTTGCCCGGTCTTTAGCAGAAATGTTCGTAGGCAAATGAGATGGATTCGATTTGTTCATCTTGGTCAGAGCCGTATAATAGTATATAATAATCTATATGGCGCTGATCTTGTTGTTTTCTCTCTCGTGTGAGTTCCACACATTCACTCTACGGTGTTGTTTACCTGCGCGAGCTGATGACATCATTACTTCACGTTAACTTTTTTCCCCCTCAACTTTGTGTGGAAAAATGCGGGGATTATGCGACCTTTTAATAAATATGCGCCCTTTTAAAAATCTGCGCCATTTTGCTGATTATGCGGTAAATTATGCGATCGCATAATCGCGTTTTTCTGGAGGGTCTAACTGTTTGTTTTTCCATATAGATGCTGGATGAATGCTTATGGCTACAAGGTTTTGCTGTCGGGTGATGTCCTCAAGGAGGTGGCGATTACACTTCAAACTGAAGGCTCCAAATTCAGACGATAATAATTTTTTTCAAAGCTTTTAAATGCATGACGACAACTTGAACTTGATTATTCTTCTATAAATAGTAAGACAAATGCATGAACTGAATTCAATATACTCTATAACATGCTTTTTAGAGACAAAAAACTTTAGTAATACAACTGTGAAAAAAGGACAGCTATAAAAAGGACATTGTACAATCAAAAGTTAAACAACTAACCCTAAACACACACAAAAACAATATGAAAAGTGATGTCAGGAAGGGAGTGATATAACATACAAACTTTCCCAATAAACAGGATGAATAAAGCGCCAAAAAGCAACTATCGATAAAAATAAAGTAACTGGGTTCATTTCCTTTTATATGTGAACTTGACTTGAGGTACACTATTGTAACCTAGAACCTAATTTGCCGAGAGCGATGATCCATCACCCTTTTCTTCATGTCCTGGTCGGCTCTGATGTCGCACATTTGAAGCTCATTTCCTGGGCCCGCCAACGGATCGTAATGGTGTCTGCAAAATAAGTCAAAAGTAAAAAACATTATTAAGGCGTTAAGGTTTCAGGATTAATTACGAGCGTTGGCAGCCCTAGTTTAAATAGATCAAAATGAAGGGGATTTCTAGCCGTTTCCTAAACAGTTATCAGTTATTTACCAGACAGGGAAAGCATTCCTAGTAAATTAACGTACTTCTTCAGGTGTTCCTCAATGGCCTTGCGTTCATACACTGTGCCATACGCAGTTTTCACAGGATCAACAAACATCTTCTTGGTCAGCGGACAGATCAGATGTTGGGGTATAAACTGTGGAACAGGCTCCACCAGGTTCTTTTAATAAAAAGTGAACAAATAAAAAACATATGTTAAGGTCAAAATGTTAAAACGTATCCACTGTAAATATGTGGGTGCCCATTTACTTTCTCCATGTCATCCAGGGACTTTCCTGCAGTTTTCTCTGTGTGTTTCTCAGCTTCTCGTTGATACGTCTCCCGGCTTGTCAGGAATTCTTCAGCCAAAATGCTTCAAAAGTAAAAAAGAAACTCAGCATCAGAGTCAAATACGTGATATATTAAAGTTAATTAACACCTTTTCTGACCTAAACTCCCAGAAAAAAACCAAGCATTCTGATGGCAGTATATTTTCAAAGAGCTACTGTAAAGAAAAAAGGTTTTCAATTTACCGGTTAGGTTATTCTGTTTTTGTAAAACTACATTTATTGTCTACAAACTGCTGTTGTGTTCGTTATGGAAAAATGTGTTGTGCTGAGACTATTTTGACAACAAAACATGCCCTTTCTTCCAATACAGTGTAAAGAAAAAAAAAAAAATGCATGTCACCTGTCCAGTGGGTCCTCAGGCTCAGGGCTGATCAGCAGTCCGTACACAGCTTCTAGGATCTCTCTCATGGTGATGTGGGCGTTGTAGTTGCGGTCAAATAAGTTGTGGCAGATGCGACCCACACTGTTGACATTGCAGTGGTACACCCGTCATCACGTTAAGAAACACACGTAGATTTCGCACAGATAACATTACTTTATAAGTGATTACCATCTATCTGCATATTATTAAAAAGACAAACACATTTATTTAATAATTGTTCAGTTATTTGCATTTTGGCAGGATACGGGTGTGACAAAGCGGACGAGTGGAGGCTTGGCTGGGTAGTCAGGACCAAACTGGCAGTACAGCTCAAACACGCCTTTCTTATACGGTGTGTCAGGAGGGCCCTGCATGAGAATCCTCCAGAACACTGAGAAGATAACACAGTATATGAAAAATACTTTTATTTGCGTGAATAAAAATCAGTGTACTTTTATTGGCCTCATTAAAAAAAGAAAACGAAGCCACTTACTGAAGTCTGACTCTGATGGGAAGACTCTGATGAAGGGATGAGGGTTACAGTGCAGGCTCTTCAGCTCCTTCCAGCACACGCTTGTCCTTCTCCAAAAGCGTCCTCTTCCAGGACTCCTTAATCTTCTTTTTGAGAGCACTAAAAATGGAATATGATTATGCGGTATTCAATCATAGATCATGCAGTAACATTTTACAAAGACGGCAGTTCTGTGGCACATTTACTTTGAATGCTCAGCTGGTCATCAGAAGATGGATAGCAAAGTAACCTTTTTAACCAGGTAATTATGAGCCTCTGTAAAACTGATGTGTATATCCCTCACCTCTCTGTCGCCGTCACTTTGCTGTTGATCTGACTTGGCAAGGATGTCTCTGGACATTTGTCATACCCATGAGTAGCAAAGAATTGTGTCAGGCAATGCTATAAAATAAACCAATAAAAAGGTACATTTAGAAACCAAAACATTATGTCTGTGTGAAAAAGTAATGTTTTATTTCCCCATCACTTCCAACAGAACGGTGGACAACGACCTATAATATCTAACCTTGCTGATGGAAGAGGGGTCAAGTGTTTCCTTGAGTTTCCTCTGCTCCAATGACAGAACCGTCTCAATCTCAAAGAGCTTCAGACCATCTTTGGTTGTCTTTGGTTTGAAACAGCAACCACCTGGAGGCAATGGGGAAGTGAGGTGGGACTGAATAGAGATCTATTTAGGGTACATATCCATGTTCCTCAAAACAGATTTCTGAGTTACAAGATCTGCTTTTGAAAGTTTTCTTACTAAAACACTGAAGGGTAATTTTGCCTTGTAAAACACAGACGCAAATTCTTAAATGTCAGTTTATGTCTGGCTGTAAAGCAGTAAATATGCATTTATTAAAAAAAAAAATGCTATATTCATCACAGGGATCTTATTTACAAAACTGTCTTTCAAAAGAGGCCATACCGGTTGCATTGCTGATTCCATGAAGCATGTTATTCTCCACATTTCCAAGAAGGATTGAGTCAACAACGATGTTAGATTTCAGCAGTTTGGCTGTAACTGCATCTGGCTCATTGCAGGATCTATGGAAAGTAAGAATGAATTGAGATTAGGACGTTTGCTTGATTAGAAATATCACAATCTGTGATGTCTGTCATTGACAAAAATGGTATTACTTGCTCACAGTATGAGGTTCAATATATGCACAAACAGATCAAGTACGAACATGATGCTATGGCATGATAAGAGGAAGTAGTTTACCCAGAATCATTTCCATCAGTAAGACACATGATGCGGAGTCTACAATCCGGAAACCTCGTCTTGACCTTTTCCAGCTCAGACGCCCCCCGTCGCAGAGCGTCGTACAGCAGAGTGCATCCACTTGCTTCAATGTTGCGCATGTGTTCCTACAAATGTGAAATAGAGGTTTATCAGTGCTTTAAACTCAGACATAAACTGTTCTTAAATTAAAGACGGATACACTGACTTTACCTTGAACGTTTCCAGATTTTCTGTGAATGTGTGAAGAATTTTCACCAGGGAGTCGAACTGCACAAGACCGATGATGTGACAAAAATCATAAGCCATGGTCCTCGTAGCAAAGTTGTCAAAGAGCTCTTTCGTAGCGTTGATCTTCTGTATTTCTGCACTTGCATAGCACTCTTCCTCCATGGAGGAGCTTGTGTCTATCAGCACCTAATGAACATTCAAGTCAAGAAAATCACATTGTAAATGTGTACAGCCCTGTCTGTCCCACATCTTTAAAAGAAACGTTCAAAGGAGAGACAGACAAAGTTACCAGTATAGCTTCTTTTGGAGTCCTGGTTGTGACAAATGTCCGGCCATCACCATGATCACCAGTCCTGTGTTCGATGTCAAAAAATGTCATGCCCATGCTGTCATTTACCAAAAATATTGACCCAACTTATAAATTGTAATTCACTGAATATCTCTTTATTGGTTGTGTCTGTCTATCCAACCATCCCTGCATGCAACATTACAAAAAGTTATATAATTACAAATTACTTTTTTAAGCATGATTGAAAAATGTGGGTGAAAAAAATTAAGCACAGGGTTAAAGGCACTTAAAAGTCAATCAACACAATAATTTAGGTTCCCAATTTATCCAATTCCAGCCATAAAGAAAAATATATTATTTTGGAGTGCTTCCTCGAGCCTGGGAAAGGTGAATACAGAGTAACAGGTGCTTACCTGGCTGCCAGCACATTCACATCCAGTGTTGTGTATTTGCCAACCAAACAATCAAGAACGTTGATAGTTGCAGGGCAAGCTTTGCCCACATTCACACTCACGCCAATGTTGTCTGACAAAGAGAGGAAATAAAACATAATAAATCAAACAATGTTCATTAGAAAGCATCCTAAAAATTAACTAGGGAAGTCCCTTTTAGAATGGTCAAGAATAAAGGCATTAAAACATTTGTTTCTGCACGGCCTTATGTTTACAAATAATGCACCATATTTTTAAAGATTATGTTTTGTAAGTGTGATGACTATTGCCACTCAATATCACAGAGAGATTTGCTAAACTGTGATTTCTAGTTAGACGCGTGCGCTCTCGAATGACCACAAAGTTATTGCTTGCAATACCATTTATTTAAATCAAAAACAGCGTGTAGCCTTTGAGGTCACTTAAATACCCTGTGCCCCATTACGCCATCCAGTGTCCAAAACAAACAACCCATAAATGGGCACAACAGTAAGTACATTTAAAGTAACTGCTGCTGTCAGACATTTCGTCTACTTTTGTAATTTATGTAGTGTTTCCCCTAGGATGGAGTCATAGCGGCGGTGCTAAGGCACGCGGGCCCAGCAAAATGTGATCGCGGAGCGCAAGGAATTTTTTTTGTGTGTGCACGTGCGAAGTGCGCCCCGCCAATATGTGCCTAGTACATACAGGGGCAAAGTCTCAAGATTTAGCAAAATACACCTTTATTGAACATACAGTAACACAAATACTACAAATCCACATAATCAAAAATGAAAAAGGGTCGCCACTTATTATTTTTGCTATTTGTATATAGGGGAAATACTGATGTATGTAGTTTAAAGCTCCCATGTCATGCTTTTCCGGTTATTACCCGTCCCCTTGTGTGTTATGAAGGTTTTTATGCATGTAAACGGTGTGCAGAGTCAAAACCCTCAAAGTACACCCTGTAGCGAGTAAAACTCTAACACAGAAAATACCTCCCCAAAACGCCTCGTTGGAGATACGTCACTGCCCATTTGAGTCTTCCATTTAGTTCCGGGTACCGCCTGATGTCATGCGGTACCCGGAACGAAATGGACCAATCCCGAAGAGCTATGGCCACACCAGCAGCGTCGTGTTCCTCCTCCAGAGGTTCGAAGAACCGGCATTTCACAGACGAAAGCTTCCAAAACATTGCCCAGTTTGAGGCCGGATATGCACAGCTTGTTTGGACCGTTTGGAGCAGGGGAAGATCTGGGTATACAACCTGTAAGTTTGCATTGTTATTTGTGTATTTATCAAACAAGACTGTTTAAATGTGTAAACTGTGTTGGACTGCTAAGCCATTGACACAGTGCTAACTGTGCTAACTAAGTTGCTAGAGTTTCCATATATCAACTCTAATATCAGCAGATGGCCTTGCATACATGTATCTCATAGCAGGAGAATGTCTGCATTCACACACAAAATACCTATTGACAGTATACTCCGGGTGATTTGCCGTGCGGTCAGTCGCGAAACGTAATTACATTATAGCTGGCGTAGAGTGTATGCAACCGATCTAACACACGGAGCTAGAGCTAGTTTCGGTCAGAAAAACATTTTTGTGATGCTACGTTGCTAGCGTTTAAATATATCAACTACAATGTCAGCAGATGGCCTTACATGTTTGTCATGGCAGGAGAATGTCTGCAGTCACACACACGGAATACTCATACAGTATACTGTACTGTGATTTACCGTACATTGTGACCGTACATATACTGCATGTAGCTAACGAGGCTAGCTGTATGCTAGCGCAAAACAATGTATTCATGCAAGTTACATTGTATGACCGAACGTAGCAGAATACCCGTATACGATTGCAATTATAAACACGTTATTGCTAGCCTAATATGAACCACTAGCTTTTGTTGATAGTAGTTTTATTACACTGCATTATAGTTGCCTTTCCTCCAAGCTAACGTTCATATCGTGTTAGCTACCAAGGTAAACAAAGCTAGGTTAGCATATTAGCAGGCAAGCTGTTCATTACACAACTACTACTAACGAATCTAAAACAACTAAGTTTCTCTAATATTTTGTGATTTGCATTTGATTTCGTCCAGCCAGATCCTGGCGGACAATCCATGACGGGGAAGGGATTCTACTACTACTGAGGGTGGGCAGGCAAGATGCGAGGAGGAGGAATGGATGATATACCGTGTATATATGTATATTTATGTTCATTTTGTACATTTCTAAAAATAAAGTTTAATGGAAATACTTAGTAGGCCTATCCTTTCTTCCCTGAATTCATATATAGCAAACCATGATTTGATTTCTCATCAAACAGTAGTAGTTTATAACGGGTAAAAATAACTTACTCTTTGTTATGAGAGTAGCTCGTAGGCCACAACGGAAAGACAAGGAGACATACACGAGTTTACAAAACCACGGCACATTTATTGTGGTAAATGCAGAGACAGGTGGTCGAGGGGAGAGGGTCGCTCAGTTCGTCCTTCTGCAGCCGCTTTGGAGAGAGACTCCGGGCCGCTGGGATTAATAGCACCGGCTACGGAGGTGTCCGTGATCGCGCTGATTACCCTCTTCAGCTCCACCCCATCGTAAGACAAAGGCCCTGAGGCCGTCACACTCTTCTATAACAACAGTTAAAAATATATATGTATATAAAATATACCGCTGTACCGACGCCATGATAAGACTGATGTTACGCTGAGAGCAGCCGGGAAAAGCACTGACATGGGCGCAGCCTCTCTGGTGGTTGACTAATCAGAACGAGTGGCCGAGCTGACCAATCGGAGCACACTAGGCTCACAGGGAGGGGGGGGCAAGAGCTCCAACGAGTCGTTTAGTGGAGAAAGTGAATACTGCTGAATACACATGCTTGACAGAGATGCTGTATGCGAAACCAATGTGAGTTTGGAAAATTACACAGTATAAATCTATTTTAGTATACCTCAACAATGTAATTATGATCAGTGGAAATGGCCATGACATGGGCCCTTTAAATTAAAGATAAAATTGAAATGTTGATTAATGTGAATTGTTGCTGTAAGTTAATACAAAATATTTTTAGTGAAATTACCATTTAAAACATACAGTATATGTGCAGTCAGAAATGACCAATGCACATTGTGATTGAGTACCTTCACTCAGTAGAACAAGGCGTCCTTCACACAGTCCTAGATCCTTCAAACGCAGAGGTGGGGTCACATTGAGGTATTGATGGTCGGGAGATTTTAATTCTTCCACCATACTTCCAAAAGTCTTCTCATTGTTGATCTTAAAGCTTTCATTTAAATTGTACAGGTTAGTAAAAACAAGGCGTTTTTCAAAAAAACAGAAGTCAATATGAAAAAAGGTGTACAGTAACTGATGATCCATACTTTGGTCCAGCCGTCTTGTCAGGGTGAATCCAAAGCGGGTAGGTTCTGATGGATGGAGGCAGACTGAGCAGAACTCTCTCAATGTCAAAGGCTCTCTTCACTGACTTCTTTTGCAAAACCTTTTCAGTGCAATTAGGGATTTGCTCTCCATCTAAAGAAAAGGTTAGAAAATTAAATTGTAGCTGGTAGTACCATTTGCCAATAAAACAAACACATTTCTTTGACAAATGTGTTAGTTTGTATAAATGCCAATGCTGAATGTTCTTTATATTTTGCATGTCCATGCCATGTTAAAAACAAGTCACCCTTAGAAGGTATGATGTTAGGCTCTAACTGCATTAAGTTCGAATAGCTTTTCATTTAATCAACTCATTGAGGGGTTTTCTTCACTGCTTGTTTCAGGATTCAGAAGGGCCTGCAAAATGTTGCCATTTACCATTTTCTGTAAAACAATAGCAGTTTGGATATAGTAATGTTGAATGTTGTCAAAAGTAAAACAGGAGACCGGATCAGCAAAGGACAGAGTTGCTTTGTGTATTTTTGTATTTAACTTCTGCTTTATTTTATACATCTATGATACGCATCTTGTTAACAATTTTATGTATGAGAATTTTTACGACGATTCAGTTTTACCTTGGATTTTCTGACGAACATAAGCTCGTTCGTAGGCTCCGGGTACTCCAGGTACTCTGACTGGTTCAGAGAAGCGGCTGCCATCTTCAGACGTCAGAGTGATTGGTGCAAAGTTCTCAGGGTATCCTGATTGTTTCTGTCAAAATAAGGCAAGGTGACAATTACTTAAGTTTTCAACCAACAAATAGGAAAAGACATCCTTGCATTACATCAATATGAATGGCAACTCTCAGAAAAAGACGAGATATTTATTACCACCCAAAAAGACTGGCACTTGTGGACAGATTTCATTAAAAATAAATATATTTAACCCCAGGAGCCATATTGGTCAAGCCTCAGTATCCTCATACCTTTGCTTCTGATAGGAGATGTGCCCAGCAGTACAGAGAGTTCTCAAAGACATCCAGGTCCTTAATGAGTCTCTCTCCTTGTGGTCTTCCACGCTGAGGAAGTAGCTCTCTGAAGAGGAGGTACAAGCCTTCTACCACTGCAATCTACAACACAGGAACAAGTATGTCTGAACAAATTGGCAATGGTAAAAATGTCTGTGAGCTAATTACAGGAAAACATATTTTCTTAAACAATGCAGATTATTTAAATGACACCTGCTGCCGTGAAAATATAATGAAAGTAAACAGACTTTGTTTTTTGTAGAAAAATGTTCCAATAGGAAATGTCTTTTCAAAAACCAATGTGTTTTACATCACTGATATTGTTTACCTTCTGGTTCCTGGTTAGTCTTTCATTCCTGCAGAACAACTGATGCAGACTTTGGGCGAGAGGGTGACATCCAGTCAGTTTCCGTATGTAGGCAATCAGTTTCTGCAGCTGCTTCGTCTTATAATTATGTTTCTAAAAGGAAAAATAAAATGTTAAAAGTATGATTAAGTTCACAGCTTTATTGCTAGATTTGACTTGAATTACCTTTTGTAGTAATTTGTGAATTTTTCATGCTAGTGTTAGCTAGTTAATTTTATTTGATAAGGACATCAGATAACATTAACAAGAACATGCACCAGATGGAGTGTGTATCGTGAAATGAAACTTACAACAGCATACACTGAAGACAAGAACACACTGATTCCTTTCTTAGTTTGTGGGACTGAAGGCAAAAAATCATGAATGAAGAACGTCTCGTCGTATGAAGTCTCGTCAGGAAATGAGGACAAAGAGAAGTTAACGGTTGACCCTTCAGAGATCCCACAACTCTCCAGAGTGTCACCACCACCATGTCGACCTCTGTACAGGAGACATTAAATCTGACTGTTGACAAAGAACATAGAATAACCACTTGATATTTAAGCCATACAATCAGCATTGGTGTCATGATTAGTTAGTTAGTTACTTGTAATGAAGAACATGTGCTGGGATTCCACTTTTATTTGCCAGCTTGAGTATCAGATTTGTTATTGTGTCACTTGCCAACTTCACCTTCAACTCAAAGTCTCCCTGTATGAAAGAAGTACAAATTATTAACAACAGACTTGGTTTTTCCCCATAACATATTGATTGCAATTTTGCATTAAACTTAAACAAATTCCAAAGTATTTAAACTGTAGGTTAAGTAGGTTTCAAAATACATACATACAGGTTCTTGAATTAATATTGAAAGGGCTGTGTAGATAAACATATACCATGTCAAAAAACGTTCAAGTATAAATTCTGTAAATGTTATTACAAGAATGTGTATAATATAGTCAGTGAGTTTTATTTTTAAAGCAAAGCTATAAATCAAACACGATCAGCCTGGACAATAATATGACAAATACCATATCAGTGTTTATTTAATCATTAGTTGATTATAATCACCAATTAAGTTTAGACGCACCTTGAGCATGATGTGGCATCGAACCATATTGCTTCCATAGGTTTCAACAACCTCTCGCTTTGGTGTTTGAGGAAACTGTTTCAGGTTTTCCTTTGGTGTAAACATGGCATACATCACAGCTCCATTTTCAATATGTCTGTCTTTCAAAGACCCTTGGGATGAAACAACAACAGACATGGTGAAGTTGTTTCTGTATAATGTTCTATGATCACTGCTATGCTGGAGCTGAAGATGTGGCCTGTGATGTCTGCACAGGGAGAAAACTGAGAGCCTGTAAGTCCTGCCTTATGCGTCTGGCCTCTTATTGTGAAAAACACCTCCAGTCTCATTATGACGTGGCTCCATTAAAAAAGCACAAGCTGGTGGAGCCCTCCAAGAAGCACCAGGAGAGCATCTGCTCTCGTCACGACGAGGTGATGAAGATTTTCTGCCGCACTGTTCAGCTGTGTATCCGTTATCTCTGCTCTGTGGACGAACATAAAGGCCATGACACAGTGTCAGCTGCAGCAGAAAGGACTGAGAGGCAAAGAGAGCTGGAGGGGACTCGACAAAACATCCAGCAGAGAATCCGGGACAGAGAGAAGGAGGTGAAGCTGCTTCAGCAGGAGGTGGAGGCCGTCAATGGCTCTGCTGATAAAGCATTGGAGGACATTGAGAAGATGTTCACTGAGCTGATCCGTCTCATGGCGAAAAGAAGCTCTGATGTGAAGCAGCAGGTCAGATCCCAGCTGAAGCGTGAAGCGAGTCGAGTAACAGGCTGCGGAATTGATACAAGTCAAGCACACACTCATAAGCTCTGTTTTTGGTCTCTTCAATTTTTGTATGTTTCACTATGTTATTTGGAATGAGCTGTGAAATGTACAACTGTTCTTTTACAGCTTTTCCTCTGAAAACAGTGGCATGCTTTAACCAAAACAGTAAAGATGTGTGCTGGAAAACCAAAACTAAGTGCAGAGTCAAGGTTCAACATTACAGATGTGTTCAGGACTTCTGTAGATTAAACACAGAACTGGATCAGTAATGCTATAAAACAAAAATCTTGCCAAACATAAACTTGATCAACTAGCTACATGTATTCTAAAAAGTAGATCAGGTTTACTAACATGTGTTGAAGAAGGGGTCATCTGTCAAGGGCATCCCATCGATGGTGTAGAGACAGACTCCTTTGGAATTACCAACACTTTCAAGATGGCAGATCCTCCTCATCAGATCCTCAACTGTGGTTTTGGCTGGATCCATATCTGTTAGATCAAAATATCCACTGTGAAGCTCTCAATATGTCTGTGCAATGATCACATTTCATTTCTAAAATAAAACAGCCAACTCCGCGATAAAAAAGTCAGCGGATGGCTTTAGTGCATCTAATGATCAGAAATGTGTTCCTCTTACCTTTAATTGTTTTTGGTTTACGACATTTGGGGAATGTGTACTTCAGATAGAACGACTCCATGGATTTTTGTACAGGCGTCACAGTTTGAACCTGGTGCTCCTTGGCTCTTTGAATGGAGGTTTTCATTGCTGAAAAGCGGTTCTTCTCAACATGACTCAAACCTGTGAAAAGTTACCTGATTAATTAAGTATATCATTTTTATAACAACATCTAACTTAAAATGACTTGTTTTGACTTCTTTATTTTAGTAGGGCTGCTCAATTAATCGTATTTTAATCTCAATTACGGCTTGCAACGATTACCGTAATCGAAATAAAACGATTATCTTTTTATTATTACTTTTTTATAAAAAAAGTTGAATTATACTTAAAGTTCAGGGTAATCAACTGTCAAAAACATACTGTTCAACATTTTTTTCTCCAATAAATTGATGTTTTCAAAGTAAATGGATAATCGTTTTTAATAATCGTGATATCAATTATTGACCCAAATAATCGAGATTATGATTTTTGCCATAATCGAGCAGCCCTATATTTTAGTGTGAATGACATTGAAAGTATAATGAGGCATTAGAAACGTCAAACAGTGTCAACAATTAATGCTTAAATCAGATACAACTTTGAATGAAAATGCAAGTGAATTACATCTCCAGGCTTAGAAACACTAGATGTAGGTGTAACTGTTTTTTCTACCGAGTGTCAGCTGCATGTTTGACAGTCTTGGATTTCAAGTTGAAGTTAATCTCACCCATGTTGTCCAGATCTTCATCTGTAACACTATCCAGGAAATCTCTTGTTTCCTTCACGCCCAACTGGACCAACTGGTTGCAGTAAGACTCCAGTCTGAACTGCTTAAGTGTGTTGAGTATTGCATCCATCTTAAACACAGGAGGATACTTTATTTACAGGGAAGGAAAGAAGATTAGGATATTTTCCCCTCAAGTAAAAGTACTGCTACTTGATACTGTGCTGGGTAAAACAAATATTGCAAGGTATAGGTTATTTCATATCTTGATAATGATATACAACATAATGAAGCATGTTTTTATTTTCTTTAAATCAATAAATAGTCTCTATACCACATGGTAAATCACAGTTCCTATACTCCTTAAATACTTATATCCATAGACTGTATATAACGGTTTATACTAATTTAATTAATTACTGTATTGCAACATCAACAGCTCCAAACTCAACAAAAAGTACCAGTGTAAAGATGTACATAGAAAAAATAGGTCAGTTAAAATGTACCATCTTCTCAGTCCAGCTTCACCTACCATAGTACTATACAGGACGATATTCTTTCAATTATAATATAGTTACTTATTTAGTACCCAATGTTACCAGTTCAGTCTTGTTTTTTGTTTCGTAAATGGATAGTTAAACGATGTAAATGTCGCTGTGTTGCTAGCAAGGTTTTAGCTAAATGCTAATGTCAGCATGCTAACCACGTGGTGTGCTGTCAGGCATCGTTCATGTTTAAAAGTCTCTTAAGCGAATTTTGTAATACAACTTTTTAAACAGCCGATTTACAGTGTTTTACTAAGTTTTAACGTGAGCTAAAGCCTAGGTTTTATAACTTAGTATATAGTAATATTGTCAGTCAGTCACCCTCCATCATGTCTCATTATCAGGTGCACTCACTGTTTTTTGTATACATCTCGGGCTGAAAGATGCTCTGTATTCACAAGTATGACAAAGATAAACACTCAAAAACAGAATAACGTTTTCACATACCTCACTGAAGGTCGATGATTCTCCTCAGTTACCGCAGAAATCACCACCAGGAGAATCCGACCGCCATGTGCTTTTAGCAGCAAATAGCAGTAATGTCACGTGCTGTGCCAACCGAAGCGCGTGTCGGGTAATCTGGTGTTGAGCCGTAGTTCACGGCACAACATCAGGAACTTTTCTGTAAAGCTATATTCTTTCTTTCTATCTCTTTAAACCAATGCTGCCATTGATGAAACGCTAAGACGAAACACAGTTATTATGCTATTGTTTCTGGAAGAAAAAAAAACCAATTAAAGTCTCTCGAGTCTTATACAAAGTTACACTCACATTGATGGCCATCTCCCTTGTTAAAACCAGATGTTAAAACACTACTTTCCAGTTTCAGAAATCCAAAATTGCCTATTATATTTTGATAGGCTACCAATTTTGACATATGATTAATTTACACACATTTGATGAAAACTAAAGTTAAATACAAACAAATAGGGCCACGCCCACTCAGGAGACAGGAAATGTATATGATGTCATTCCATTGGTGGAATTTATTTTAACTATGCCACGGTAAAATTATGCTCACCTTAACACAAATCAACTTTTTATTATTGTAGATCTAGGCTGCTGTTCATTATCCTGATCCTAAGACATTGAACATATCGTTTCCATAGTCTGTCTGAAACTCTGCCCTCATGAGGCAGCAGAGACACCAGCAGCTTCAGAAAGGTAAACACACTTCCTCAAGTTTTTTTATAATGGCATTAAAATCCTGCAAATCGTTGAAATGTTTGGCCTGCATATCCACATGATTACACTCATAGCGCCAGTACTTTGTGCATTTCATAAACAGAGTTCATTAGATTAAATTAGAGCTTTAAAACAGCAAATGGCTCCATGAACCACAGAGATCATTTTATTTCAGTCATTATCTAATGTCCATTTTAAACATCTCTCAGTCATTCTAAATGATATACTTTGTAGTTTGTGTTATTTTAGTTTATCATTAAAGCAGAACCTAACCCTAACACTATACATCTACAAAACACATGTTCTCAATCAATCACTTAAAAAAAAGTTTAAGCACTCGTAATTCCTTGTTCATACATAACTTAGAGTTCATGTTTATTTTAAAGGATGCAGAACAGATGCAGAGTGAAACAATTTCAAGTAATCATGCTACCAAATATAATTGAGTCTGATGTCGTAACACTGTGTAGGAATTGCCCAGACAGTTTTCTAAACGTTTGCAATATCACAAAAAACAACCTCCCTTGCATTTTTCCTGAAACAGATGCAAGATTCCTAGACCATCTTTACGTTGAGACACTTTTTGGAGGGACTGGCTGGTAAAACTTGTGGATAAACTCCAGCTCTGTCTGTGTCTCTTGGACCCTTTGTGACTGACTTGTGTCGCCCTCAAGTGGTATTTTGGGGGCAGGAAAGAACTGTCTATTTTTCCGTATAGCTGCTGGGTGAACGCTTGTGGCTACAGGGTTTTGCTGTTGTGTGACATCCTTCCCAACATGACCATTTTCATTTATATCAATTCCATTGTTTCTCTTCATTGTGTCCATTTGTGTAGGGGAGCTCCTAGTTTCAGACTGAAAACTCTCAGAAGAGCACTTCTTAATGTCATCCTCCATCTGCACTGACAGTAAACTACCTCCACAGGTACTATTCTGTTGCCCCTTTTTGGTCTTTGCTTTCCCAGTCGTTGACACACAATGTTCAGTATTGCTGCTGTAACTTCCTGCCTCACAGTGACGGAAAGAGGGGACACGATTGAGGTTTCTGGACCTCAAGGCAGGGCTGCTTTTTCTCTCAGTCTGGGGCGACAGATCACTCTTTCTGCTTGGGCTGTGAATATTGGCATTGGATGAATTTCTTGGAAAACTAGGACTAGAAGTTGGGGTCCTGCAGTGGGGACTGGCACAATTTTGCTTTGGATAAAGACTGCAGTCTTGTAGGGTTTTTAATACCATCTGGTCCCTTGTAGGCTCTGGAAGTGAAGTAGGGAGGTTTGCATGCCTAGAAGTTGAGATCCTACTGCAGATAGATGTTTGTGCTTTCCTAGCTCCAGTGAAGGCGGATGTGATTATATGCTGTCCATGAGTCCTAGTAAGTGAAGAGCTATTAATCACTTTAACTGATGATGAGGTCTTGCTGGGACGGGCGCCTGATGGAGGCCTGGGTGTAGTATGACTCAGAGGAGGAGGTGGATGTGGCTTTAGGGCTGTGGTGGGGCTTAAAGCTTGCACACCCTCAATAGGAACCCTTGATGGTAGACTAAGGGAGAGGAAGAAGTAAAGTAAATCAAATGTTTGAATTCAAAAGCAACATTGTGCAAACATTGTGTCATTGCTCTCTTAATTAAAATGAGATCCTTTCTAGAGGTTGTAACAGCATAACCTACTAACCTGAACTTCTTTTTCAATTTCTTCAAAAGGAGAGGAGAAGCTGGTTGTGAAGCAGAAAGCGAAGAAGGGTACAGCTCCAAGTCTGATTGTATAGCTCCTCTAAGCTCCATTAACTCTGCACACACAAATACAAAAATACAGACTTGACATTTAAAAAAAGATACTGAAACACACTGTTTGATAAATACTTAAGTTTCTGAAGATAATTTAATGTTTGGCAAAAAAGATTCTCTTTATATATGAGGTTTTGTGTTTTTCTTTTTGCAAATTGAAACACACATTTAAACAATTGTGTGCTGAATGTATAATATTTGGTTTCATACAAAATATAATTGCTGTTTTACCTAGACTGCTTAAAGTAGTTTTACTGTTATTTGATGGTTGGATTGGATTCATAAATTTGCTTCTGAATCATTTTTACCAGGTAATTCAGTTATGTGTTAATGTCTAACTGAACTACAGGTTAAATGGGACATTACAGATAAGAAAGAGAACTCTTTCAATACACTTCATACCACCAGATGGCAGCAAAACACAAGCATGTACTCACCTGCAAGCGTAGGTTCTGAATTATCAAGCTCAAATGGAGTGGGACACCTTTGTGTAATATTTGCCTGTAAGAAACATGAGACACAGAACAGAAAGACACACAGCTTAAGTTTATTCATACATTTTGAGATTATCTAACATAATGCTATTGTATAAACTAGGACACTTTAAGCCTCTGGAGATAGAAGTGGACTTGGAAAAATAGGAGGTCAATGTATTGAACATATTTGAGAAGGCAAGAGCAAAAATGGAAATAGCAAAGGAACAAGGAAAAGGCATAAAAATAACAGCGGGAGAAAAAGGAATGCGTGTGACCACTAAACGATTGAGCAGCAGTCTTTCATCATAATTTGGCCTCAAATATCTCCTGAGCAAATGAAAACCATAGTGTGTGTGTGTGTGTGTGCCCATAAAACCAAAGACCGATTGAAAAGTGTGGTTCATAGGTTTTCTATGAGTGACTGGCAGCCTACTCTCCTCCCTCCAAACATTAAAGCTCTAATGGAGAGTTGTTATAGCTACTGCATACTTATATACTCTAACTCACACAAATACACACTAAAACAAAAACATACCCACAGGCCTGGTGACTGACAGTTAAAATACATATTTTGAGTCTGTTTTCTCCTCTGGGATTAAAACCCAAACCTCCCAGTGTTGTGTTTCAGAGCTGCAGACAAAGTATGTGGTGTCTCTGACAGTGAAGTGACTGAAATCTAAAACATCTTTAAAGCACACACACGTACACACATACAAAATAGGCTTTGTGGTCCGTGTGGGGTTTGAACCCATTACTACGGGGCTGGCTTGCTTATATTTAAAGAAAGCTGTATTTTTATAGATGACTCTCTAGAACCCAAATCTACATACAAACACAGAGTGTCCCTCAGCTTATGCAGAACCAGAAACAGGAGAGCCAGGGTCACAGAATCCAGCTGAAACCAGCTACTGATGGCTGCCATCTGTTTCGCTGAACTATGATGGCCAATTTTATCTAGCTGGTCCACCAGCAGAAATCTGCAATATCCTGATGGAAAATCTGCCATAAACTGCTGTCATCATCTGGTCACACAAGCTGCATCTTTTGACCATGATGGTTCAGATATTCAGTAGAGTATGCAGCTCAGACTACTGATAGTGGTTTAATTGTGATGGAGTTTAAGCTATATATCTCTTTAAAAGACCTAAATTAATCCCTCAGTAGGTTAGTGGAGAGATGAATGAGTGAAGGGGCTGCCAAACTGTCCACACTCCAAGCAGTGCCATCAGTGTTTGCTCAAGGGTAACTGGCACCTGTTTAGCTACAAGTCCACACTTTGATTTTTTTAAATGAACAGGAAAACCATATTCTGGTGTTTGATTTTTACATTTTTACTTAAAATGTCATTAAACTTGTTTTGTCTTTCTTCAATATGAACCGAAACACATGCAACGTGGAAGATAATAATGAAAATAAATATATATATATAAAAATCCTTAATTTGTAAGCATTTACAATCTTGAGCAACATAAGGCCAGCTCTGCCAGGTTTAGGCAGCAAGCTCAGACCATCTCTGCTTACTCCAGAGACAAATTCCTCACACAAAAGCAAACATTACAATATGAGGAACTATGCATGCTGCATAGCTGATGATATTATTCCTCCCACCTGTGCTTTGCAGACAGTAACTGAGAGACTGAAGCATACAGGAAGCCTTGAAGGTCTAGACTCACATCATCTGCACTATTATTAAGAGCAGCAACAGAAAAGGCCACTTATATACCAATTTTAGTTTCAGTATATTAACATTTAAAGCTGCAGTAAGAGTGTAGCTCATCAAATAGTTTCCACATCTTGAGGGTGATGAGACTATTTTCTTGACTGACTTTACATTCAACACACACTAACACTGTGAGCTGTGTGTGGAAGTCACTATTGGACTGTTGCTGGACTAAGTCATGGTATGAGGCTCCCTCCTGCTGAGAGATAATGGGTTATTAAAGTTGTGTTTAGAACACATTTAGGATTCAATCATGCCGTATCAAGCTTCTTGATTTCTAATTTGCCTCTGTTGAATATTCTTTACATAATTTGACTGCATGGAATGACACCAAATCAATAGTAATTTCAGTTGCTTCAAACGTGATG